GATAAGTGAACAGGTACTTCACAGAGGAAAAAATACAAATGATTAACAAATATGTAAAAAAATGTTCAACATCTCTGGTCATTAGAGAAATGCAAATTAAAACAATGCTAAGATTCCTTCTTAATCCAGAAAGAATGGCAATCATTAGGAAATCAAACAAAAATAAATCCTAGTATGACTGTGGTGAAAAAGGAACGCTGCTTCATTGTTGGTGGGAAGGTAAACTAGTACAACCATTATGAACATCTGTATGGAGATTTTTCAAAGAATTGAAATTAGAAATTCCATATGACCCAGTTATTGCCCTGCTAGGTATCTTCCCCAAAGAGCTTAAGTCATCATACTATATTGATACATACATATCAATATTTACAGCAGCACAATTCATAATAGCTAAGTCCTGGAAGCAGCCTGTATACCCATCAACAGATGATTAGATAAAGAAAATGCAGTATTTTTATATAATAGAATACTACTCAGATATAAAGAATGACCATTTTGAGACATTGCATCTGGAAAAGAAAATGTTGAGTGAAATAAACCAGACACACAAGCTTAAATACCATATGTTATCTCTCATTTGAGTGAGGAAAATTATGAACAAAGAAAATGATAAAGAATGGATAGAAAGGTACAAGGGGATGGATCTCTTGCAATATGAAGTGATCCAAGGGAACAAGGGTGAGGGATGAGCAAGATGAGAAGGGGAGATATGAAGAATAAAGATATGTAATGTACAGGAACCTAATAACCCCAATTAATGTAAATATTTTAGGCTATAACATGAGTTAAGCCAAATAATATCAACAGGAATGAAAACTGGGATAGGAAAACTTGAGGAGGAGTGAGGGGAGGGGAAGGAAGGGAAGAGGATAAAAAAAAAGAAACAAACATGTTGTAATATGTACATGTAACCATTCCCCAAGATGACTGTGAAGTATACAAACTGTAAACATGTACAAATAAAATAAAATATTAAAACTTTCTAAATATTAAAAAATTTAAATATGTACAAATAAAATAAAATATTAAAAAATTTTAAATTTTAAATAGCAAGGGGTACCTTGCCATTAATCCCCCTCACTTTGGATGCACTTGTCTCATTGTTCTTGTTGCTTTCTGGGGCAGATCTGAGAGTCCTCTTTTCAAGAGTCTCTTTTTGAGGTATGATCAAATGCTGCTACAGGGTGTCATTCAACAGAAAAGAAGGCTAATAAAAACATTATGCTGTGTCCTCATCCACCTTATCCACCGGATCTGGCACCCTGCAACTTACGGTTCTTCCCCAAATTCAAAATGACCATGAAAGGCAAATGTTTTGAATCAGTTCAGGACATCGAGGCAGCTAGGGACAGCCCACCTGAAGTCATTCACAAATTCGGACTTCTAGAGCAGCTTCAGGGGGTGGCAGGAGCAGTTGGTTAAGTGTGTTCAAAGCAAGGGGAAGCACTTTGAGGGGGATTGATGGCAATGCATATTTTATTATAATACATTTTTAAATTAAACACACTATATTTATTTTATCACACTACTTAAGAAAGCATAAAGGAAAAGACTATGTTTTTGATGAGGATAAGAATGTTTGCTTCTTTTTTTAAAGTCTTTTTGTCTATGTCTTATACTCTGAGTAAATATTTTCAAAATGATACAGTGTATTAACTATGTGTCAATAAGTTATTCTCTTATTATTTTGTTATGCACTTTTGTTTTTTCATAAAATTAAAAAATGAAAAAAAAGAACGTTGAGTAGTAAAAAAAGAGGTATGGAAAATGAATCAAAGTCTCAATGAGACCAAAGAAATGTTGGGAGTCCTGAGGTAGAAAGAATAGGAGGTAGTGCACAGTGTGAAATTTTGTAGAAGAGACTTTGGAGATAGTGACATTATTAGAGATGATGAGGTGAAGAATGTGACCAAAGAATTGAAATGAAGGCTTGAAACTGGGTATTATGAGCATATGGATAGTAAAGTCACTGAAAACAGTGATAGAAATCAAGATAGAGAAGAAAGCAGGGGCATTAAGCTAGGAGCTTAAAGATGCACCATTGTGGTCAGCAGGGATATGTTTTAAGAGGATTGTAGAGGAGGAAGATGGGTGTCAAGTCCAAAATGGAGCACACCATTAACCCCACATGCTATGAATGCCAGGAGGATTAACAAGGGCCTTGCAAAGGAGCTGTTAGTTTAGATAGTGGCAACTTGATACTATGGGGTCTTTTGTTTTTGTTTCAGGACAGGGCTAGCTGAGGAAAAGATAGTTTCATCTAACAAACAGGTTGCTGAAACTAATTCTTCCTTAAAAAGTTGACATGGTCTGGTGAGTGTGGTCCCAGGGAGTTAGGACTGCCCTTCCCTTCTGTGATTCTCAGTTGTATGGCAGTATTGAGCATGAGGAGTTGAGAATGACTACTCTGATGTGACTCATGAAGGAAGGTAGGTATTGGTGTTTCCATAAAGAGGAGAATGAAGTAATAGCCTGGTATCCACAGAACAAAAAGGAAAAAGGGCTGGATTTTGATCTGGATTGGAATACAGTGGTACCTTGGTTCATGAACTTCTTTCCACCATTCTGGTCGCAAGCTGAATTGGACAAGAACTGAATCAAACACAATGGTAAAGTTTAATGTTGGTCTTATGGGGAAATTTGATTTGGCTCTCATCCAATTCAGCTGTAGACTAGAATCATGGAAAGAATTAAGCCACCCCTGGTGTAATATAGACAGAAGAAAGGAGAAGAAGACATGATTTATAACTAAACCAATACAGCAGAAGCAGATACTCAAAGCTACAGATAGCTAACAGACTGTTAGAGTCATTAGAAAGTCTAAGAAATTTGGGGCAAGGCTATTTGTCTATTCCTATACCAATGCACACTGCTTTAATCTATTATGTCATTACAAATCATGGTAGGACAAAAATTTCTTTATTCTTTGTTAAAATTATATATTTTATGGATTGTCAGTTTTTCATATGAATTTTGGGATTGGCTGGTCAATTTCTATAGTAACAAAACACACACACAAATCACACAAAAACACTTGTAATTTTTCTGGGAAATATTATTGAGTTGATTGCCAATTTTACAGTAGATTAACATCTTTACAATACTAGGAGTTCCTATTCATGAACATGATATGTCTTATTTATTTTAGTCTTTTTCTATGGCCTGCACTAGGTTTTAGAATTTCTATACAACAGGCCTTGTAACTATGCCCCTCTCCTTTTTAATTCCTACTTTCTGGGATCTGTTACCTTTTGAACGAGATTTTAAAAATTACAATCTTGATGCTGGGATTTAGCTCAGTTATAGAGCACTTATCAAATGTATGTGAAGCCCTGAGTTCAATCCCTAGCACCACCACCACCACTATACCAACAATGAAAAAAAATTAAAATCTTGGCTTAGTCTTTGGTGATGTGATTTTTCTAGATTATTATTATATCCCACAAACTTGTAACACTCTCATATTTCTTCTGATAGTTTTTCTGTGGATCCATTTGAATTTTTATGTTGATATATATTATCTGTGAATAAGATTTCTGTTTTTTAAAAATAATTTTAAAATATTTTGTTTCAATATTAATTGGAATTTGGGACTAGGCGGTCATTGATTACTAGGAAAAACATTTAGAATACTGTTAGTAGTTGAAATGTGTAATAAGAATGTGACTTTATTATACAACAAGAAACATACATTTGGCTTTTGTTTCTGGTTCTTCATACGGAGTTCCTAAATCCTTTGGAATTTCCTGAGTGACAGGAGTGTCTTGTGTTTTCATAAGGTGACTCCTGATGGGCTCCCAATAGTTTTAGGATGGAGATGGTCATCAGAAAAACAAAATTATAATTTGAAACTTGAAACTTTCAGCCCTACATACCCTCCTCCTGGAAGGGGCAAGAGGCAATTTAAGAGGCAAGATTAACTTAACGACTTATCATTCATATGATATGAAGTCTCCATAAACATCTCTGATGTAAGGCTTTAGAGGTCTTCTAGGCTGGTGAATGTGTTTCTGGGAAGGTGGTATAATATAACTCTTTCGGATAGAACTTCTGTGGTTCAGACCCTTCACTCAAGGTACTTTACCCTATGTATCTCACCTCTTCATTTGGCTGTTTGTCTGTATTGTTTGTAATATTCCTTATAATAAACCAATAAATGTAAGTCAATGTTTCCTTGAGTTCTGTGAGCTGTTCTAGCAAATTACTGAACTCACAGTTGGATGGGGTGAGTCAAGGGAACCCTCCAATTGATAACAGGTTGGTTAGAAGCACAGGTCACAACCTGGGATTTTGCCTGGCACCTGAAGTTGGGGGCAGAGTCTTGTGGGATTGAGCCTTCAAGCCACAGGGGTCTGAATATACTCTAGATAGCTAGTGTCAGAACTTAATTTAATCACAAGACATTCATTTGGTGTCTTCAGAGAAAAGGAGAATTTCTTGGTGTGGAAAATCTATACATTTGGTGTCAGGAATGTTATAAATGACAATATATAGAAAACCAGTTTTTTTCCTATACATGTTATTATATATTATTGTAGTGGTGGAAAAACATAAATAATAAATAAAATGTGATATTTTAGGAATAATAATATCTATTTATACATGGCAGAATTAGCAGATGGATTAGAAACAATGAATAGGGCCGGGGATTTAACTCAGTGGTTCCGCCACCTGCCTCACCTTCCTCAGGTCCTGAGTTTGATCCACGATACAAAAAAAAAAAAGAAACAATGAATAATTTCTAGGAAAAAGTAACATACTACAAGGGGAAGAAATGAGAAGAGATACTATTAACATGTCAAAATGTCACAGCCAAAAATATTTTTAGTATATCACACTTGAAAGCAGACAAGTGGAGAAAGGGTAAATTTGTAGGTATTTTTAGGAAACAATTTTACTCCACTCCATCAAAGCATTTAGTTTGCACAACCAGTTAAACATCATCTTCAACAAATATAAAATGCTACTTCCAACATTCAATAAATCTATAGACTTACCATTATATATTGTATTCAAAAGGAAGCCAAGTAATGCTATATCATTGGCACAGGGGCACTTTGTCACTTTGAGATCTATCACATGTGGACGTAATACACTGATCTCTTGTGATGACATTTCATCCCCAAGATTCCACTGAAGAATAGGTTCTGTGGAAATCAAAGCTAGGTTTTAAATTGTGGCAGTATTCTTGAAGATGAAACATTACTATATTCATTTAAAAATTTTAGAGGAGCTACTTAAAGGAACAATTCTATTGCCCAAAAATGGATGTAGTATGAACCATACTTCATCAGTTAAAGAGAGGTCAGTTTTATTCTAGAAATGATCAAATCAAACTCCCTTTGTGGAACCTTGGCAAGGTCACGCTGCAGAAGAGCATGTGGGATAGGAGATACTTGGAAAATACCATTTGCCTCAGGGTCTATTCCTAGAAATGGAATTGTTGGATCACAAGATATGTACATTTTAATTTAGAGAACCACTTCTGCTTCAAGAGCCTACATTTCCTTTTTGCTCTCTTCCCCAATCTCTTTGAAACAACAGTAGATAAAAATAAGAATAAATTCAGAGTAGCAGTGGAGAACAGGGGAAGATGTCATTTCTGGCCAAGAGACTTAGAAAGGTTTCTGGAAAACAGAAGATGGGAAGAGACTTGCAGGAAAACAAACAAAAACCAAACCTAAACAAAAAACAGTAAGAGATGAGACGTCTTCAACTCAGCACAGGCTGAAAAGTAGCACAATAACGAAGACCTTTTACATGGCAAACAAGGCCTTCTGGGTTCCGATGTCTTTTTAATTTCTCAGCTTTACTTTTCCCTTGGTCTTTGAGTAGCTTTTTTTCTCCCAGGTCCTTTTTTGTAGTCCCCATTTGGGTATCACCCTGTTTGTGAAGCCTCTCCTAAATCCCTACAATGAATGAGGTTCCAAGAGAGCCCTGAACTTCACTGGAACTGAAAGAATGAAACCATATTTTTTCTCAACAGACTTGGGTAATCAGACAAGGCTTTATGAATTTTAAAACTTAGATTATTATTTATGGATATTCAACAGGTTGAAGCTAAAGTGAAATTTTCATCATAAAGTGAAATTTTCATGGCTAAAGATTTTTTCTCCTGAAAAAAATCTAAAAATATTGAAGAAAAAAATTTCTCACTTAGAAATTTCAGAAGAAAAAAATTTTTTCCTTCTCAAAAAAAAAAAAAGAAGAAAGAGAGTACCAAAAGTAACTTGGCAACAAGGCAACTTGAAAGAATATTGTTGCCTGATTTTCAAATAAAGTCAAAGGACTTTAAAGAACAAAAATATCTAGTAATTAACCCATTAGCTATTTATATTCTACAATGTAAAACTCTTGTCTCCCCAAACTTTCACTTTCAATTTGCTACAGACCCAAAGATGGTACCTGATTTTTTTTCCTTCACTTTGTGCAGAGCAAAAAAAGTAGCCAACTTTCCATTTGGGTTGTCATAGAGTAGTCCAGATACAGTTGAGAAAGGACAGAAACACAGTGTATAACTAAACTAACTCGAGTAAGTTATTCAAAAATTCAAAGAAATTTAGGGTAAGGCAGCTGACTTTTCAGGTTGGAGTACAGGGAGATTAGAGCTTGCATCTGAGACATGGTTACATGGAGTTGACAATGCCTTTGTATTATATTCTTTAAGGTCCTCTGTATTCTCAAGTTCCTTAAAGTCAGATCCTGTACTTTAAACATTAAAAGAACCAGAGAGTGATTAAAAGTTTTGACTTGTGCTGAGAAACTAAAAAAGAGACAGAAAAATAAACCTATGTGAAAGTTGTTGGTGACTACAACTAAGAGCAGTTTGAGTGCTGGAGACAGAAAATAGGAATGGTTTAGGGTTTGTATGGGATAAAAAGTGGCAGGAACAGGATTTTAAAGCATCTTTGCTGAATTTAGTAGTGATTAAAGATTTCTAGCCATAACCTTCACCTTAACACACTCTTCTGCTTAACATACTCCAGTGGCTTTTCAGAATAAGTGGAAAAGTCCACTGTTTTTATCTCTGCCAGCCTCTCCAACTCATCATACACTAGTCACTGTCATTTTTTATGCTTCTTCAATACTAGTCTCCTTTCACTGCCTTAAACAGATCAATCTCATTCCTACATCCATAATCTTCTAAGGCCTATGGAAGCTCTTAGCTGCGGCACTGCCTCTATATATTATACATAAACATAAGTTAAAAATGTTAATGCAGTATCTTAATATAAAAATGTTTCAGGTTTCTGATTCTTTACTAACAGAAATTAATTTAGATAGTACCTTAATACTTCAGAGGAGCCTGGGATAGCCAAATATCAAAACTAGTATTGTAATGACTATTGAATAATTGGGTCACTATTTTTTAAATTTTGGAAACTATGAGAAAAGTAAGAAAGTATAACATTTTGTCATTTTTGTTACAGATATTTTAAAATTAAATTAAATTCGATTAAATTTTATTTTATTGTGGTTCTGGGCATCCAACTGAGGACCTTGACATGCTAGGCAAACACTATCATGGAGGTAGACTCCCAGTCTTAGATATTTAAATTTTGGTTAAAGAGACAAAACAATTCAGATAATACTGAAGATGGCTTTGTTGTTTTACATAGTTTTGTTACTTGTCACCAAATGCATGAACTTGCTGTGGAGTCCATGTTCTAAAAGTATTTTTATTATGATATACATGTATGCACTGTTTTGTGTATTTTCTGAATTTTAGACAAATATTCTATTCTATCCTACAACTTGATTTTTCACTCAGTGTTTGGGTTCAGTTTTGATTCTATGTTTGGACCTATTTCCTTCATTTTAACAGGATATACCCATGTGTATTTGTCTTTCCCCTTATTTATGGATATCCAGGTTGTTTACAGTTATTTGATACAAATATTACTTTATGAAATAGACTTGTACATGTCCTCTGAGGACACATGGTTCTCAATCCTCACTGTACATCAGAATCATTGTTGGAAGATTTTCTAAAACTATAGATGTCTGGCTCTACTTATAAAGATCAGGTTTTGATTGGTGGATGGTAGAGTTGAGACATCCTTACTTTTTAAAAGGCTGTCAATTATGATTCTTTCCATAGCATGTAATGTTTATTAAGTTTTACGCTGTATTATTCTACATAGCATCACATCAAAATAGGTCTAAGATAATAAAAACAAAAAGAAAGTGAGGAAATACAGGATCTAGGACTGAGGATTTAAAAACGTTTATGCTACAATTCTATAGGTGGTTCAAAAAATAGGGCTATCATTTTTTATCAGGCAATTGAAAAAGAGAAGTCTAATTAGTTGTACCGCTCAGTGTTCATGAATTTAAAGCAACTAATGCTTGATTAATAAAATAATAACTTCTGGAACAGAGCAAGATTGTTTTTACAGGTTGTTGTCATAAAAAAGACAATTAGAAATATCTAACCAAGATACATCAAAGATGGAAAAACTAGCTTTATACAGTTATTGTTTAGAATGATCCTCAAAATGGCCACAATAAAATATATATTTCCATATTCCTATAGCACTCTATGTAGGCTTCTAATAACAATTATCCACATATATTTAATTCTTTGTCCCATCGTGTTTTGAGTCCCTCAAGGTCCTGATCATCTAGGACTTAGCAGAATCTGGCAAATAGTAGATGGCAAAGTTTGCTGAAATAATATATGAATTCCATTCTACTTTCATCTTTTAGTATTTACCTCGAACACTATCCAATAGGGTTCCTTCAATAGCATAAATATTTAATCCTTGATGTAAAGTGATCTTTACTAACCATTCTTCTACAGCAGCAATATCTGAAAACAAAAGATAGTCAACTATTTTTTATATGTCATGTTAATGAAATGAAGATATGTGAACGACATATGACTTTTCCTTTTCTAACCATTTTTTGCTACATTTATATATCAAGTTTCCCATGTTTTTCCTTCAAATATTTCACTGATAAAATAATAAAAAAGAATTATGAAATGATCTGACCACCATAGCAATGAATCTGCACACTAATATTTTAGATCATAATTTTTCACCTAGAGCTGTGTGACTCTGTAAAAAGCAAATTATGACCTTCTTGTGAAATGGTATAATATTACCTAAAAATACCCATCAAAGAAAAGTTCATGGTAAATGGAGGGGTGGAGGAGTTGAAAGGAGGGCAGGGGAATGGGGAAAAAATAAGAATTGAGATATATTATGTAAAGGTATAAATTTCCAATAATGAATGTCATTATATTGTATACCTAAAATGTACCAATAAAATTAATGAAGAAAAAAAAAGAAAAGTTCATGACTGATGGCTTCACTGTTGAATTCTACCACATATTTAAGGGTTATCTAATATAAATTCTTCTTAAATAAAATAGTCTAAAAAAATTGAAAAAGTGGGAAATTCAAAACTCATTCCATATAGCCAAAATGACTGACACCAAAACCAGAAAAAGAAACCACAAAAAGGAAAATATCTCTGATTAAAATATATGTAAAAATTCTCAACAAAATAATAGAAAACTGAGTTCCATAGGCACATTAAAAAGATCATCACGATCAAGTGGGATTTATCTCAGGGATGCAAGGATGGTTCAATAATGAGAAAGCAAATAACTTAATTAAAAATGGGCAAAGGAGCCGGGCATAGTGGTGTACACCTGTAATCCCAGCACTCAGGAGACTGAGGCAGGAGGATTGCTGAGTGTTCAAGGCTAGCCAGGGCTACATAGAGAGCTCAAGACCAGCCTCAACTACAAAGTTAGACCCTCCCTGCAAAAAAAAAAAAACTATGGGCAAAGGATCTGATAAATACCATACATCCTCCTTGATATGTGGAATGTAGAAAAGATGACAAGAAAATACAAGGGAGTCTATTATTAGACAAGAGGAAGGGAATATGAGGGAGAGGAGGCGGTAGAAAGCCAGGTAATAGGGGGATAGATTACAAGCAAAATGTATTCATTGATATTATACCCCACCATGTGAAAAAGAAACTAGGGGAAAGAGTGGGACAAGGGAGGATGATGGTGATCAAAATATGTTATATGCATGTATGAGCCTTCCAAAATAAAACCCATTAATTTGTACAACTAATAAAAAAAGAGAATAAAAAAATCTCCATACAGTTCCATGGGCTTCAGTTAAATCATTTGAAAATGGAGATAATAAGGGTACTTACCAAGAGTATACTTCATATAGTGAGAAATAAATGAGTTAATTTAGATAAAGTCTTTTGAGCAGTGCTGGCATATAATAACTCAATAAAGCTAGTGGCTATGTCTGCTACTATTACAACAATTATTTTGCTACCTTTGCTGTTGATGTTACCTAACTTGCTTTTACTAAGATTTTACATATGCAGATGGCCCCAACTTATCATAGTTACACTTAACGATTTTTCTGCTTATGACTGCAAAAATGATATGCATTCAATAGAAAACATACTTCAAATATTAAATTTTGATCTTTTCCTGGGCTACCAATATGTGGTAAAATACTCTCTTGTGACATAGGGCAGCAAAATGAGCTGGTTGTACAATCATGAGGGGGAAAAAACTGTGTTGCTAAGCTATAATGTTTTAGTAGCTTAGGTATACTAAATGCATTTTAACTTACATGTTTTCAACTTAATAAAGGTTTATCTGGATGTAAACTTCTTATGAGTTGAGAATTGTCTTACCACAGTACTCAAATTCAGCATAACAGTAAATCAGATATGATCAAGGACGAAAACATTGAATGAGGAAAGGTGTTTTCTTTCCTCTAAGCATTTTAAATCTGATTTTTATCATATTACTGTATACCATCCCCTCTTCCATTATATTACCAGCACAAATTTAAAACAAACAAACAACTCATTCAAGGGATTTGTATCAGAAGAAGAGAGCTCATTTGATCTTTTTCTACAAATTCTAATGTTCGTTCTCAGATCAGGTTTATTTTTGTCTAGGTGACCTCAGAATCAATGCATTTTGAATTAAAGCTTGTAAATAAACAGCAGAAGTAAAAATAACATGTAATCTTCATTGCTTTCCAGCTGTCAAATTAATGCCACTGTTATTCCAAGCACCTACAAAAATAATTCACCTTTATACTAATAAGAGTCAGTATAATTTAAAAATAGAGTTTTCAAAATGAATAGTTTTCAAAATGAATTCCTTGCAAAAAACACACAAACTTCCAATGACAAGATTTTTCCTTAAAATGCGATGAGTAGCCCTCTCTCTTTTTGCTTCCCAGATGCCACTGGGAAGCACTGCTAAGGTGAACAGCTTCACTCTATCCCAGCCCTCCACCATGATGTACTGCCTCACCGCAGGCCCAGAAACAATGGAGCCAATCCACCATGGATTGAAACCACTGACACTGTGAACCAAAATAAGCTTTTCCTCTTTTAAGTTGTTTTTCTCAGGTATTTTGTTACAATAATGGAAAGCTAACACAGAAAAGTGATACTTAGTAGTGGGTTGTTGCTGTGACTATACCTGATCATGTGGTTCAGAAGCCTTTGGAAACGGTTTGTGGGGGGAATTTGGTAGGATTTGGAGTTGCAAGCTACAGAAGCCCTAGGTCAGTGGGGGCGAACCTACAGCACATGTGCCACAGTGGGCACACAGAGCCTTCTCTGTTGGCATGTGAGCCAAGTTGCCCCAGCAGCTGAGCATTGGGTAAGAGTTGTTTCATCTAATCTAAATTCTAAGGATTCAGGTTTAATTGCAGTATTGACACTTTGTGATAAGTCAATGGGCTTTGGGCTGCAGTTTGGGCACTTGGTACCTAAAAGGTTCACCATCACTACCCTAGGTTGTTGTAATTGGAATTTAATTGGTGATTCTGAGCTGGGTGTGGCAGTGCACACCAGTAATCCCAGCACTCTGGGAGATCGAGGCAGGAGGATTTCAAGTGCAATCCCATCTTGGGCAATTTAGCAATTTAGACTATTATGGCCTGTATCTAGATGTCCCTCCAGAGCCTCATGTGGTCATAGGTGGGGCTTTTTGGAAGTGAAGCTGGATCTAGGGTGTGTGGTGCTGGGATTAATGGGGTAATGCTGGGATTAATGTGCATAATTACTAAATTAGTCCACTGATTGGCTTAGCTTAATTCTGGGTGTGGATAATGCAAACCTCACCCTGAGTGTAGGTGACACTACCCAAAAGACAGGTAGTTTGGATGGGATAAAAAGAAGAGGCAGGCTGCTGCTTTCCTACTTTGCTGCTTTGTTGCCTTCTGCTTCCCCTGTTAGCCATGGAGTGTTTCTCCTCTGCAATGTCCTTCTGCCACGCCACCTTGCCTTGGAGCCAGCCGATTATGGACTGAATACACCACAAACTGTGAACTGAAATAAACCTTTCCTCTTTTAACTTGTGGAGTTGGGTATTTTGTCTCAGCAAATGAGAACAGTAACTAAGATGGAGACCCTGTCTCAAAATTTAAAAAATTAGAAAGGGGTTGTAGACATAGCTTAGTGAGAAGCTCCTGGGTTCAATCCTTAGGACCACAAAGAAAAAAAGAAGGTGATTGGATGATTCTGGTGGACACTCAGAAGACCAGAATACTGATAGAAATGCAGATAGTAAAGACTATCCTAATGAGGTTTCAGATGGAAATGAGAATTTTATTGGGAATTGGCATCATCCATGTGATGCTGGTTTTACAGACATGCAGAAAATACAAGTTGTAGAGTCATGGTGGCTTCCACTCAAATTTCACAAGAGGACCTGGAAGGCCATCCAATATAAGGCAGCATTAAAATTCCTGTAGGCAGTCCCTGTGAGAGTGATGTATGAAGCTGTGAGAGTGAAGCTGAAACTGCAATTGAGACCTCTGTAAATTAGAGATGAGAGGAACATTGGAATGTCTACCAACAAAAGCCACAGAAATGAGTACAGTCAGCCCAAGACAGTGGCTATGTGGGTTGCAGCCAGTAAGGCCTAGGGGCAGAGCTGCCCAATCTCTTTGGAGTTCACATCCTGCCATCATGTGCCTTAGATACAGGATATAGATCTAAGAATTTAATGTTTGTCTTGCTGGGTTTCCATCTTGCTTTAGTCTGCTCTTTCCTTGGTACTCTCCTATTCCTTGCCTTTGGAATGGGATGTTCACCTTGTGCAATTGTATATTGGAAATATGTAACTTGTTTCTTGATTTTTACAAGAGCTCATAGCTAAGAGTTTGCCTTGAGTCTTAGGTGAGACTTTGAATTTGGACTTTTGAGGAATACTAGAACAGCTAAAACCATGGGGACTCTTGGAGATGAACTGAATGCATTTTTTTTTTTTTTGGTACCAGGGATCGAACTCAAGTCCTTGTGCTTGCACAGCAGGTGGCGAAACCACTGAGCTAAATCCTTGGCCCTTGGACTGAATGCATTTTGAATTGTGAGATGGATGACAGACTTTGGGGCCTAGGATTCAGATGTTATAGTTTGGATCTGGAATGTCTCCTATAAGGGACATGCCTTTGAATGTTATATTTTGTCCTCAGTTCCTTCCTCACACTTCCCCTCTCTCTTTGCTTTGTGGCAACCATAAATGTACAGCTTTCCTTTGCCATGCTTTTCTACCATGATGTACTACTGCCTCACCACAGGCCCAGAAACAATGGAGCCGGTCCACCATGGACTGAAACCTCTGACATCATGAGGCAAAACAAACCTTTCCTCTTAAAAAAAATAAGATGAATAAAGGGAAAAGATAATGATACAATCCACATCAGATCTTAACAGTACTGCAGTTTCTGCTGCAGACTTTAATCTTTTTTTGTTTGTTTGTTTTTTGGGGGTACTAGGGATCGAACTCAGGTCCTCACGCCTGTGAGGCAGGCAGCGGTACCACTGAGCTAAATCCCTGGCCCAAGACTTTAATCTTTGATATTTCCTTATCTATAGAATCTTTTCTATCTCTGCTCTATTCTCTCTTTCCTCCACCTTCACTCTTTAGGACACATTCTAGATGCCAATCTAGAGCAATTGGCCTGTATGATTCCTCTATCACACTCTCCCAATCTTTAATTGCCTGCCATATATAATTGGCACATGAGTAGATCTTAGGATAAATATATTCTCCTGAGAATTTGCAATTGGGCTGGCCATTAGGAAAAAAAAATTCAACAGTAGTGAAATAGTTTTAGAATGCCAATATGCAAAGAAATAAAAATAAATGTAGATTTACAGAAAAGATAGATAAATGAGACAGGGAACCCAGTATTCCCCGAGTTTTTTCTATTTCTTATTTTTAATTCCTTCCTACAGTGTGGCTGCATTTTTATATTTAGAATCCATGAGTAAAATAATTTTTTCTCCTTAAGTGAAGCTAAGTTAAGTTTTTCTTTCTCGCATCTGCCAATTAAAACAAATCTTCCATCATTTTTAACCTATAGAACTACCTCTGATGCCTAAAAATTTAACTTAGTCTATTAGTTTAATACTCATAAATTTGAGATTTGACTTTCCTCCTTTTTCTTTCTGGGTATACACAGTATATAATGTACTGCCACATAACATTTAATAGTAGATTCCCTCATAAAATAATATATTGCACATTATAGTCTATAACATTTTAAGGTTGATTTAACTTTAGTAAAATTTATAATACTCGATACTACAATTTTCAACTTCTAGAAAATGAGTTTGCTTTAAAAAAAAAAGGATAATATAAATGTTACGTGTGTCAGAACAATCAACCTGTAAGATTGCCAGGTAAAATACATATGCCCAGTTAAATTTAAATTTAAAATAAATCAGAAATAAATTTTCAGTATGTCCTACATACTACATGGGATATTTACATGGGATAATGAATAAACTTTAAACTACAATAAATATTTTTACTTGGTAAATTTAGACCCATGAGTAAAAGAATAAATTCAGGTCAGCCTTACCCGTGTTACTTGTGATGTTTTCTCTAGGAATATCAATTAACCAGAAAATCCGATCATTCAACTTGAATGAAGAAGACATCAGAAAACAATATTTTACAATGTTAATAGTAACACTTATTTTGGCATATTCTACTTGTCTTTTTTTTTCTGTGCTGGGGATTGAACCCAGGGACTTCACCCCGAACCACACCCCAAGTCTTCAATTTTTTAAAAAAACTTTTGGGACAAGGTCTTGTTGAGTTGCTAAGTTGCCCAGGTTGGACTTGAACTTTAATCTTCCTGCCTCAGCTTCCCAGAATTCTGGGATTATAGGTGTACACTGCTACACCTGGCTCTACCCTATCTCTTAAAAAAGAATTAAAAGTACATACATATACCACGGGGCCGGGGATTTAGCTCAGTGGTTCTGCCACCTGCCTCGCAAATGCAAGGACCCGAGTTCAATCCCCAGTAATATATAGTCAAGAATATATTTGCATCGTGGTTTGGAATAATACAAGATTGTAAATGATAAAAAAGTTAATCAGCTGTGTACAATAATATAGCTACATAATGAATTACCATACAGCCAAGCTCTGGTAACATGAAGTTGAAGTACTACTGCTTAATAATCAGAGACAAAACATGGGATGGCAGAGCATTTGGAAATTTAAGAGAAAAATTCAAGGAGCAAGAGATCTTCAAGAATGATGAGCTCTAAGATTTATATAAAAATTGTGTCCAAATTCTTGTGCTACACAGGTGCAGAAGACACCCCTAGAAGACCAGGTCTGAGAAACCAGCAGTGGAAGCTAAAAGAATTGGCAGAGATATCAGCTACTGAAACTATAAAACAGTTTGCAGTTTTTGCCAAGTCATCTGTCTTTTAGAATAACAAGAACAGCAGTTTCTTAGAAGAACAAAACAGAATTTAGAGTTGCTACAACATATTATCTTCAACGTCCAGTTTTCAACCAAAGTGACAAGATATAAAAAGAAACACAAAAGTGTAAATGATATTCAGGAATAAAGGGTAGACACTAAACTGAGTCAGAGTCCAGATACCAGAAATGACTTCAAAGAATTTATTATGACAGTGTACACAGGTTTAGGAAAATGTTCTAACAAGGAAATGGATAGAGAATCCCAACACAAATCAAACAAACAAACAGAAATAATAAGACTGACAAGTATAATAACTGAAGTGCAATATTTATTTAACACATTAAATTGCAGACTGGAGATGTAAAAAGAAATAATCAGTGAATTTAGAGATATAGTAATTAAAACTACCAAATATTAAAAAGAGGGACATATTAGGGTGACTACAGATAACAGTAATATACTGTTTATTTCAAAAAATGAGAACAAAGGATTTTGAATATTCTCACCATAAAGGAATGATAAATTCTTGCGGTGGGGATTTACCTCAGTGATTCTACCACCTGCCTCTCAAGCACAAGGACCTGAGTTTGATCCCTGGTACCAAAAAAAAAAAAAGAAATGATAAATTCTTGAGGACATAGTATGTTTAATCTGATTTAAACCTTACACAATATATACATGTACACTACATGGTAACCCATTAATATATGAAAATTTTACACATTTAATGTATCAATTAAAAATAAAATTTAAAAAAGAGGGAATTAATGAAAAATAAAGTTTTATAGACTTGTGAAATAATATAATGTGTTCCAAAATATGTATGATTGGATTCCAAGAAAGGAAAGAGATAGAAAAATGGGTAGGAAAAAATCTTAGAGAAATAATGGCTGAAGGCTTTCCAAATTTGGTGAATTTGCAATTCAGGAAGCTCAGAGAACTCCAACTGGGTAGGTACAAGGAGAAAAATTTAAAAGCAACTAGAAAAAAAATGGCACACAAAATGGGACAATAATAAAAGCAACAGTTAACTTTTTATTCAAAACAATGGTGTCAGGCAATATTAGAATAACACATTCAAAATCCTGAAAAAAAATGAAGTCAACCAGAAATTCTAGATCTGACAAAACTATTTTTCAAAAATTCAGTTAACTACTAAAAATCTCTTACAACTCATATGTGAGTCCAACAAGGTTACAGGATACAAGATAAATAGATAAAAAGGTTTACTATTAGGAATAAATTTGACAAAATGGATACAATTTATACTTTTGAAACAAAATATTTTGAAAGAAATTAAAGAAGATCAAAATATGTGGAAAGACAACTTGTGTTCATGGTTTGAAAGACTTAATATTATTAGAATGGAAGCCTACTTAAATTTATCTATAGATTCTAAAAAAATCTCATCATAATCCCAGCAGGTTACTTTGTAGAAATTTACAAGCTTATCCTAAAATTCATATGGAAACTCAGGGACCCAGACTAGCAAAAACATTTTTTTATAAAAAGGACAAAGTCAGAAAATTCATGCTCCCTTATCTCAAAACTTAATCCAAAGCAACCATATTAGGACAGCATGGTAGCAGCATAAAAATAAACATATAGATCAATGCAATACAATTGAGAATACAGAAACAAACTTTCATATTTATAGTCAGCTGATTTTCAACAAAGACATCAAAACAATTCAGTAGTGAAATAATAATTGTCTTTTCACCCAAATAGTACAAGGAAAGCTGGATAGCTACATGCAAATAATGAATATAGACTCCTACATTTTATTGTACAGTGTATAAAAAATCAAAATGAATCAAAGACACAAAGGTAAAAGCTAAAACTATTAAGCTCCTGGAAGAAAACATACAATTAAATCTTTCTGACCTTGGATCAAGTGATAGTTTTCTACACATGACTCAAAAAGTACAAGGAAGAAACTTTCATATATCAAGCACTCTATCAAGAAAGTGAAAAGGCAACTCACAGAATGGAAGAAGATATTTGCAAATCACATCTGGTATGGGACTTCTACCCAGAATATATATTAAGAACATTTGGAATTCAACAATAAAAAGACCACTCAATTAAAAATGGAAAAAGAATCTAAATAGCTATTTCTAGGCCAAGAGTAGTGGTGCATTCCTGTAATCCCCATACTTGGGAGGATGAGGCAGGAGGATCGCCATGAGTTTGAGACCAGCTTGAGATACATAGTGAGTTCAAGGCCAGCCTGAACTACACTGTGAGACCCTATCTGAAAAAAAAGCTATTTCCCCAAAGAAGACATTCAAGTGGCCAATAAGCATATGAAATGATACTCAGCATCATTTATCATTTGAAAATTGCAAATCAAAACCATAATGAGAGGGCTCTTCATATCTATTAGAATGATAGAATGACTACAACAAAAAAAGACATAACAAGTGTTGGTGAGAATGTGGAGAAAGTGGAACTCTAGTAACATAGGTAGAAATGTAAAGTAGTACAATCATTTTGGAAAGCAATCTGGTAGTTCTCAAAAAGTTAAATATAGCTTTGTGCCCAGAGAAATGAAAACATTTCCACACAAACACATCCACAAATGCTGACAGCAGCATTATTTACAATAGCCTCAAACTAGAAATAACACAAATGTTGATCAACTGATGAAGAGATAAGTGTGGTGTCTATGCAATGGAATATTATTCAGCCAGAAAAAGGAATATAGTACTTATATATGCCACAACATGGATGGACTTTGAATACGCTATGTAAACTGAAAGATGTAGTCATAAATATTACATATTATGTTCCATTTACATGAAATGCTTAGAATAAGCAAATCTTAGAGAAATAAAGTAGAATAGTAGTTTCTTAGGGGTAAGGAATAGAGAGAGAATGGAAACCATGTCTCCTAATGTCTCTGAGTTGTCCTTTGGAGTGATGACATGCTCTGGAATTATATAGTAGGAATGACTGTATAAATCAAGTATATGAATATGTCAAAAAGCAATGAATTATATATGTTAAATAGGTGAACTCTATGGTATGTGAATTATATCTTAATAAAGTTGTCTTAAAAATGAAGGTCAAAGGGGTAGGGGTGGTGGGAAGGGAAGGGGAAAGGAAAGAAGGGAAAGGAAAAATTATGAGAAAAGGAAAAAATGGAAACAAAGTCTTTGTAAATAGGGAAGGGTGGAGGG